ATGATCCAGCCTTTAAAAAGAAAATCCTTCAATTTGCAATAACATAGATAAACTTGGAGAACATTATGTTAAATGAAATAATGTAGACACAGAAGGTCAAATACTGGATAACAATTCCTTGTGGATGGAAAGGCAAATATATGTGAAAGACCAGGAGCTCTAGAACTAGACTGCCTTCATTTAAATCTTGCCCCTGTCATAAGCTACTTGCGTGATTCTCGGAGAGTTGTTTAACCTCTTTGTGATTCTCTCTCTCAATCTTTAAAATGTGATGATAATAATGCCTAACTTATTAGAATTTTATAATCATTATTGAGTTAATATTTGTCAGGTGTATAGACCAGTACATAGCACACAGTAATCATTATGTATGTTTGTTAAATAAAATGAAGAGTGAATAAATAGAAACCTACATATATAAAATTATAAAACATGTCTACTTCCTAAATAATGTATACTCATATATTTTAATTATTAGTGGCTATAAATCTATAATAAATTGTTATCAATATACTGAATTTAAGAGTCAGGTGGATGTCTTTCAAGAAACTTTCAGATCACTGTCTTTCTCTCACTTAATATGCCATTTGGGTGCAGTCTTCCACTGATCTCTTTCCTCAGATTTCTAACAATTCTTATTCTCTTCTTTCTGTATGCCAACTAACTAACTTCCTATTTCACTGAGAAAATAGAAGCAATCACAGGGTATTTACAATACTCCCACTGATCTGCACAGAAGCTCATCTACTCTACTTTTCTCTATTAACACAGATGACCTTTCTGTGCTTCTAAGGCTAGCTTTTCCACTTGTGTGCAGGGTACCTTTCCCTCTTTTCTATACAAAGACATTGCACCAGCTATTGGACAGTCCTCCACCTCCTACATCTTCCCTCAACTATATCATTCCCATTTGCAGGAAATTATTCTATAATATCTCCTATCAATAATAAAAAAAAATCCTTCCTTGACACCACAGTCCCTCCAGCCACCTCTCTATTTCTCTTCTCCTTTATAGAATATCCTTTCTTTCCATTCTGCTCCTTCTCAAATCCCACCTAATCAAACTGCCATTCTCACTACTCTATTGAAGAAAATTTTGTCAGAGTCACCAGTGAATTCACATCACCAAATCCAATATCTAATCTTTATCTTTATTCATTTGGCTTCTGTGTCATCATTCTTTCTTAGTTCTCTCTTAGTTTGCCTTCAGTTTCCCTGACCACTCTCAATATCCTTGCTGGTTTCATCACCCTGGCCACTACATTTGGAAGTGTCCCAGGGTTCAGTCTTTGGACTGCATCTCCACTCTATCACCAGTCATTCTCTAAGTGAACTCATACAGTCTTTAAATATAATCTGTAAATTATTTCTTACCACAATTTTTGTTACAATCTAGACCTTTCTCCTGAATCCCAAACTTACATACTTTTCTGCCCACTCAACATCTCCATATGAATGAATAATATATATACATTTTAAATCTAAGATGCCCAACCAAAATTCCTGATGTACCCTACAACCTACTAGCTAGTAGTTTCCTTATCATAACAAATGACAACTCTATTATTCCAATTATCTAAGCCAAAGAACTTAAGGTTTTCTTATCTCCTATATTTCTCTTTTTCCCCAAACATCAAATCTATCAGCAAATGTTATTGTTTCTATCTTCAACATTTCTAGAATTCAACAACTTTTCTCATCATCCTTTTGCTGTCACCCTGGATGAAGCCACTGTTCTCTCTTCCTTAAATTATTGCAGTAGATTCCTAACAGTTTTCCCTGTTTCCACCTTTACTCCTTTCTGCAGAGCTTATTTTCAACACAGCAGCCAAAATGATTCTTTTCAAACATGTCAGATTATATAACTTTTCAACTGAAAACCTTCCAATAGCTTTCCAAGGTATTCTTTGTAAAACCTAAGGTTTTGCAATGGTCTGTGGAGTACTTCTAATGGAAGAAGCTGAAGCATAGTTCGTTATCAGTGGTGTGCTGATAAATGTTTCACAACCAGCATTATAGATATAGATCAGGAATAAAGTCATAGAAACATATCTGGAAGAAAATAGAGGACTATTGAGTTCTGGTGCCTGTTGGCCATCCATTTATAAATATCCAGTTGGCAATAACAAAAAATGTTTTTAAAATAGATAGTAGAATGAAAAAGAAGACAACTACCCATAGAACTCTGGGAAACATTGATACTTAAGTATCAGCAAGTAAAAGGAAGCCAACAAAGCAACTGGGGAAATAAAACAACCAGAGAAAACATTAAGTGCAAAAAGTCACCCAGGAAACTGTAATGTCAAGAAAATAAGGAGTTTTAAGAAGCCAGGTATAATTATGAGCCTCAAATTCTAGAGAGATATAAATTTTGAATTATAAAGAGATAAGGTAAGGGATTGTTTGAAAAGTATAAATTAGAATTAGAAAATCCCTGATGATGTTAATAAAAGGAGTTTCGGTGCAGTGGTGAAGAGAGAAGACAGATTATAGTGAGGGAAATATTGAAAGGTCAGAAAGTAGAGACAGAAGTAGATTGTTCTTTCAAAAATATGTATTAACTGTGTAGAGTTGTGGTAAGATGGACGTATGTTTAACTTTTTAAAAAATCATGTGTCATCTAAAACATGTTTATGAGTTGACCTAAAAGAAGCAAGAGAGAGGAATTGAAGAAATTATAAATCCAGGATAATATTAAGTGAAAGTACAGGGGAAAACTGATTTCATAGCATCAGCTCCAAACAGGAGTCACTGACCTTTGATAAGACCAAAGGCTTATTCCCTCTGAGCTCAGAGATTGAAGAGGGTGAGGGGGGGGCGGGCAGTGCTGAATGTTAGAGATACAGATTCTAGAACAAGAAACATAAAAAACTTTCTATTTTACCTATTATGATAAGGCAATATAATCAGTAGATTGGGCAGTTTCAGGCAAGCATGTTAAAATCACTAGTGTGATAAAGGTAAGGGAAATGTTATTCTAACCAAACCCTTTCCACAGAAATCCTTCTGACATGAAGCCATAAAAATTTCATCTTTCACTCTCTCTGATCAGTCATAGAGCTGTAGAATGTTAAATTTTAAAAAGACCTTGAAAATTATCTGTTCCAACTCTTAGGTTAGTTATGAAGCTGAGATAAAAATGAAGTGATATTTCTGGGTTCACTTAGCATGGTGAGGATTGAGTCCTGATATGCCCATTCCCAAGGTGGTGTTCTTTCTAGTATACTGGTACTATCATTTCAGAATGACCTCCTACCTTTCTTTACTTAAAAAAAAAATCTTCTGATCCATTTCCTTTGGATTAGCTTTATATCATGTTTTATATATACATGTGTGTGTATTTTTTATAAGTCTTGGCTGAGTTCCATTAGTTTCTCTAATGTTTATGTAGCTTCACCAACTGCCTTAAGAGATTATAGCAGAACAGAATATTTAAGTAGAAATTTAGCAGCTTGTTTCCTAAGACTTATCATAAGCTCACTGACTATTCAAAATGACAATTATATACCTTTACTAGTATACTTGTCAGACATATTGTTCTAGATATGTCAGAGTGAAATATTTACATTACAATAGATCAGGTACTACATTCACTTAGGTAAGTAAAGAACTTAAAATGTTAAGTATATTAGGTTTAGTATGTTTGTAAACTATAATAAAAAATAATGTGATAGTGGTTCTGCACATATTTGATATTAGGTAAAGTACGATGAAAACTTTATTTTACTAAAACTATTCATTATATATTAAAACTTTATCATGACAACTCTGTTACTTAAATATAAAACACTGTTTAAACCCATAGAGAAGAATAACATCATTCGAATAGAGTTACTCTTTAAAGTAAGAGTGAGCATTATATATAATCACTACAGGGTGCTTTGTAACAATCCATTTGCATGTATGGTTTTCTTTTAGATATTTTAAGTTCTGCTGTTTTTCTTGTTAATAAGTAATGGATCTCATTGTGAAAAGTCTTAACATTTTAGAAATGTATGAGGCTTTAAAAAGAAAATGTTCCCTGTAACTAAATACACACTGTTTCATAACTTTCATTTTAAACTTCAAATTATATATTAAGAAGCTTTTCATTCCAGTGCAGATATGTTGGTGATACACAGTATCTCAAGGTATCATGATTTATTTAATCCCTTCATGAACGTGCATTTGGTTTTGTTTCTAATATGTTGCTGTCTTTAAAGCTGAATTCAATAATGCAACTCTGTAAATTTTAGTTGCTATGATTCACTCTCAAACCTGGAAGAGTAGACTCAGATTCATGAACTTTAACATTTTTAATATATTTGCCAACTTATTACCTAAAAGATTTACTATGTTGGATATTTCACTCAAGAGGTATGGAATCTTTTATATTCCTACATCTATGCCCAAACTGGGTATTTTCACCAATTATTTTTTGTCTATCTCACATGTGAAAATGTATTAATTCACTTTAATTTGTGATCATTTAATTATAAGTGATTTTGGAACATCCTTTATATAAATATATGGCCATATATTATCTTTTCTGTGAATTACCCAAGTATTTTATGCATTTTCTATCTTTTCTTTTTAATTTGTGAAAGTCTTTGTAGATATATAACTATTAAGTTTCTAGGACATTTGAAATCATAAAATAGTATCAAGGAACACAAATAATTAGTACTTCTATGTGTGTCAGTAAAATTATTTTTCCAACTGAAACATAAAAAGTTTGTTTTTTCTATTTGCAGAAAAGTATTGTCACACAAAACAACTAAATTATCATCATAGGTCATTCTATTCACTTTATTAAGTATGCCAAGTAAATAGCTATATCTTATTCTCACACTTATGTGAAATTAACCATTTCCACGAATAATTTTTCTTATGCATATAAGCTTTTTACTTCTTGCTTTATTTTTACTATATAAGCTTTCTGTTATTTACGGACTGCTTAATAATAATATAATAATGTTTTGTCACTGTCAATAATCATGTTTTGCATTTTTTTATGGAAGGTCTATGCCAGAAAGGAAGCCTTAAAGGCAGGTTTGGATAAAACTGTAAGTCTTCAGAAAGATCTATCAGAGATGCATGAATGGATGACTCAAGCTGAAGAAGAATATCTTGAGAGAGATTTTGAATATAAAACTCCAGATGAATTACAGAAAGCAGTTGAAGAGATGAAGGTAAAATAAGCCAAATAAAGCAAAGCAAAGAAAGAGAGAAGGAAAGAAATGTAGCATTGTTTGAAATGTGATTCTATATCATTTGCTCTTTTCTTGGTTTAATAGTAGAGGTTAATTTTTAATTAATTTAGCTTCAAGATTGATATGCATTATTAAAATCTTAAATTGATAATTAATTTTATGCATTGTGATCAAAATATAAATATTGACAATCAGTTTGAAACATGATTCCCTTGAAATCATACCATATTAAGAGAGTGGTATTAGCAGATCACATTAGCTGTTACTAGCTGATGCAAATTCAAGTTGAAACTGTGAGAAAGTATTTAAAATGTAGTCAACAGGCTGTTAATTTTGTAATTCAAAGGGGTTTCTCAGTATTTGCAAGTACTAAATATTTTAAGTAGTTGGCTTTAATATGGATTAAAAGGATTGAATTTACATGCACTTCTTTTGAAACAATAAGACAAAAAATAGCATTGATTTTGGACCAAGGAAATTAACATGTAGCATGGACTTGAAAGTGAGGTCTGGAGTTGAATCTACACAGTGACATTTCAGTATGGCCTTGGGAAACTCAGTAATCAACATAAACTTCCATTTTATCATGTTTATACCATCACAGTTCCTACCTAATTTGTTTGTATGAACTGAAGATTGTACCTTACATGTAAGTGAATTGCCTACCTCAGAGTTGGCACTCAATAATTTATGACTACAATGATAACTATTATTTTTATGTACTAGTAATTATGCATAATCTAACCACATTAACCTATGTGAAATATTAATAGTGTTGATATTTGTTTGGTTCAAGGACTTATGACAGAGTAAAATCATTGTAGAGCCAGATATTTGGGTTTAAAACTTGGTTTGGCCCCTTGCCAACTGTTTCACTTTGGACAAATTACATAAACTTACTGAGCTTCAACTCCCTCATATGTGAATTGGGTGTCAGAGTGCCTGCTTTTTGGAATTATTAAATGGATGAAACATGAATGTCCTAACACAATGCCTGGCACAAAGTAAATGTCCCTACCTTGATATTTATTATTTTAATTGGTGCCATATGGTAAAAAAATAGCTAAGTATACTTTTTTATATGATAATCCAGAAATATTTATTATAGTTTATAGCAGAGAGTAGCTCATGAAAACTCAGATGTTTAAACATGGGATCAATCATATGGCTTTAGTCAAATGTAGAACGTAAGTATCAAACGTACCCAATAAATATGTACAAATATTATTTATCAATTTTTAAAAATCTATAAGCTAAAATTTGTGTAAACAGTAATAGTTTTTAGAGTAGTAAAAATTAAAAAAATCATTCTAATCTGGTAATATCATATATCATTCATTCATTCATCAACACCTATTACATACTTACTATGTGCCAAACATCCTTCTAGATACTGAATATAGTATTGAGCAAAGCCATTACCTGCCTTCTTGGAATTTATGTTATAGTTCAGTGGAGAAGTAGGCAGTGAATGGAGAAATAAGTAAAATCATTTGAGATCATGATAATTTACCTAAAAAATAAACCTAGATTATGAAATAGAGGATGATTAGTGTTTAGGCAGGCTTTGGGAGTGGTACTGTTTCAGAAAGATTTGATTTGTAGAGCATTTGTGAGGAATCACATTTAATATGGGAGATCTGAATCAGAAGAAAAAGCCAATAATAATAAATTTCATGGCAGCACATTTCAATCAGAGCTACTACAAAGACTCTAAAGCTAATTGGGAAGAGAAAGAGGCTTGTCTGGCTGAAGGGAGTAAAACAGGGAATAAATGATCTAAGATAAGTTAGCGGGGGTGGGCAGTTATCTGTTAGCAGAGGAGTTTTCATTCTAAGTGAAATGGAAAAATCATTGGAGGGTTTCAAACAAGGGACTATATAATGGTTTTAAATTTGGCTGTGGGGAGGTCACTATGAGGAAAATTATACCAGAATGTGAGAGCTAGAAGGTACTTTGAGAGTAATATAGTCCACAATTATCTCTCTGCTGATCACAAAAATGAAATCCCCAGATAGGTTGAACAATTTTGTCATAGTCACAGGCTTTATCTGTGGTCACATCCACAGGATTGAAGGTATTTTATCCAATCCCATTTCATTCTAAGCTATTCTATTCTATTCATTGTGTGCCACCCATGTGGCCTTTCCCTGTGTATCTTAAGTCCTTTATGATCTGTTCTCACCAACTCTTCTGATATTATATAGTCACACCCTCAGATCCCTAAATAGATAATCTGCAGTCAACTTGTGTTCAGCTGCTCTGTTTCTCTCTGGATTTTTTTGTTTGGTGCAGTTCTTCTTCTGCTATCTAAAGGTCTTCTTCCTTCTCTCCTGGAGTAGTCTGCCTCTCTGGCTAACCACCCAGTCAGATCTTTTTTGATTTTTCTGTGCCAGAGAGTAGACTGTCTCAAATTTTAAAATTTTAAAAACAATCTGTGAAATGAGTGGTTCAACAAATTTGTCCACATTAATTGATATGTTTAAATAATTGATCTAGCTACAAAATTGATGCACATGGGGGTAATATTGAAAAGAGGAAAAGCTCAGGAAGCCTATGAGAATAGCAGCCAATGGAGTTGGCAGGAAAATACCATTTCTTGAGTTTTCTACCTCACAGTCAAGGCAGTCTCTTTAGGTCGGCTTCATAGTAGTAGTACCTTGTCCAGACTTATACCTAAGTTTATTTTGAGAGAAAATTTATCTTTATTGTTAGAAGATACTAACATCCCTCCCTAATTTACTCAAAGAAAAAAGTAGAGACCTCTTTTTGTTTCTTTATTTTCTTTTTTGTGTCTTATTTGAAAATTATATTGCTGTTTTGATAACTTATTATTCCCCTGTAAGCCAAACTTTTTTATTTACATAATAGAATCAAGGGGAATATTTGATAAGCAACATCTAACTGTAAGCTTCTCTTGTAGTTTAGCAATGAGTATATGCTGAAATTTTATATTAAGCCCACAAAAACCTCTGGAATTTCATTTTAAATTATTTTCTTTATTTTTTTAATATTTTTTGCTATTGTGACTCTAGAGCTAGTACTTAACAGAACTTACACATACAATAAGAATAGTGAGTACACAAATACACTCATGTAATTACCATAGCAGTGATTCTTGCACTTCAGTGGTCAATGGGAATCACCTGGAACATTTGTATAATACACAGAGTGGCCAGATATGGTGTCACATGCCTATAATCCCAGCTACTCAGGAGGCTGAGGCAGGAAGATCACTTGAGCTCAGGAGTTAGAGACTGCAATAAGCTATGATCCAGGTAACAGACCTTTTATGTTTACAAAATAATACGCAGATTGCTGGGCCCCAACCCACAAATTTCTGATTCAGTGAGTCTGGGGTGGGGCCTGAAATTTTTCATGTCTGTCAAGTCCCAGGTGATGCCAAGGAACAAGTTCCAGAGTGGTTCTATGGAAGCATACTTTGAAAACCACTGATTTGAGATATTGGCAATGAAAAATGTCTGGGCATATCATGATTAGATTCATGGAAAATATGGGAGCATGAGCCACCATTTTTTATAAGGATTATGTTTAAATGATAGCAGTCATTTAGCTTTCTCCCTTCCCTCATAGTAGAGAATTTCATCATACTATCCTTTCCTCATATCTACCTGGGTTAGTAAATTTTGCTCTCTTTCTTCTTCGAACCTTTTCCAACATCTAAGCCTGTTTTTAAAAATGAATATATGAAACCTAAAAATCAAAGAAAGAAGTGTTTTTAGCTCTACATTTTTAGATAGCTGAATGAGTTGTAATTTCATTCATTGGATCCACTACAACATACTTCTTCATCTGATGGAGCATTTGAGACCATCTTGATGGAAACTATGAGAAAGGAAAAAGATGTAACTCTCAGGCTGATTTACTTAAACTCTCTGAAGCTCAGTTTTCTGATGTCTAATATAGAGATAACAAAATACATCTCAGAAGGTTTTGTTAAAGATCCAATGAGGTAGGATATATGACATGGCTGGCATTGCACACAGCAACACATTTTAAGTGGTTGATGGTTGTTAATGTTGTTGATGATGTTATAATTACTACAATCAAAATATGATTTGTGTAGAAACAAACCCCATGCTTAGTGATGTCAAAAGGCTGATTTAATCTAAAATATTGAACTAAAGATGTCCATCAATTAAATTAAATCCAGTGAAGGCAAACATTTGCATTTTCTGTCATACTGCATACTTTTAAAGAATTGTGGGACTAAATCCAAAGAAGTAGGGTAATTATGTTGAAAAACATAAAGGCATTTTATAGCTGACCTTGTTCATATCCTGCCCATATGGCCTTACTATCACTACTACATTGTATGGAAGCCCAACTTCCACTTGCTAGAACCTACATTTCTTTATCTGAGGGCTTTGAGTGGCCACAGAATCCCACTTTTGCACCTGTGTGGCAGGCTGCAAATACTAGGAAATTAACATTTCCCCAACAGTCTGCAGCCAATGATAAGAGATAATGTATAAATAATACCCCAGTTCCTTTACCCCTGAATGGAATAACCCCAACACACATGTTTCTTGGGGCTTTCTAACAGGATTAAAATCTAGTCACCAACAGTGGTTGCTGAGCTTAGTAAGTATATCCTTATGATCTCTCTTTTGTTTCCTGTCTCAATTCCCTATTTTGCTGCCAGCATTTTTTCATATTGCACATGCACATAAACTACTTATGCTTTAAAGTTCGTAGTTGGCCCCTGGAGGAACTGAAACTAAAGATACTCTGTGTGTGTGTGTGTGTGTGTGTGTGTGTGTGTGTGTTTATAAAATACATATCAAAAAGTTAAGGAGTATAAATTTCTTCCAGCCAAAGATGACTAGTAGCTTTTCTGTGGTTGAAAAAACTTGGGTTTATTACTTTTTGCAATAAGGAAAAATACACAAAATAGCGGAATCTGGGGTGTGTAAATATAAAAAAAAATTATAGGGTTTGGGCTTGTGTTAGGGGACTTGAGGGAGTGTTTAATGTAATGGCTTCACTTTGAATTTCTTGTCATTTGCAAGTGGGGATAACTGTATGATTGGGTCCCTTATCTTCTCCAGAAGGAGGGAAAACCAGAGCGAGGGTGAAGTTGTGATAGATAAAGAAACATTTATTCATATTAACCAGGATAGAGGAGTGTTTGGTATTTTGTGGTTTGGGCAATGTTAATGTTTTGTCTGTATTCAGACATAACTACTGAGTGATCTTGTTGTAGTCTTGTTCCACCATGATAACAAAGTTGCCTTGTCCAATGTTGAAAGTCTGTGAAACAGTTTATCTTCCACAGAAGACCAAAGCATAACTGTGAGTGCCAGGCCAGCTTCTGATGTTAGGGGCTGCTTTTCTGTTTTTCTTTCTCTCATGTGTTTTCAATTACTGAACAAAAGTTTTTTTCATCACAATATGGTCCCAAATATAGCATTAAGAGGACATTTCTATGTTCAGTATCTTTTGATGTAAATAATGATATTTATGCTGGTTTTAGCATTATTCATCCATCTTAGTAATTTATAAGTGATTTCAATTCTTGACTGCTAAATATTTTTTAACGTAGTTAGTATTGAAATATTTGTTTCTTGCCTTTTTCAAACAACTGTATTAATGTAGATATATATGAATTTAGCTACAAATCCAAACTTGCATACAGACTACTTTTCAATCTATTCTTATTAAAGATCTATTATATTTTAATTATAAAATTTTCAACTTTCCAGTTGTAACTAGACCTACATTTATAGAAGATATTGGAGTAAGTATTAGATTTATTTTTATTAGTCTTATCCTAACAGGGATGTTGTGAGGAAGAAATTACATGATACATAGGAATGCATTTTGGAAGTAAAGTCATTGCCATGTTATTAAGAAACTATTCTTTATTTTTCAGAGAGCTAAAGAAGAAGCCCAACAAAAAGAAGCAAAAGTGAAACTGCTTACTGAGTCTGTAAATAGTGTCATAGCTCAAGCTCCACCTGTAGCACAAGAGGCCTTAAAAAAGGAACTTGACACTCTAACCACCAACTACCAGTGGCTCTGCACTAGGCTGAATGGCAAATGCAAGACTTTGGAAGTCAGTTTCTTTTCTTGATTTTATCAATTATATGTTAACATGTGGTCATATATGTAGCACAGTGGTTAAGAACACAGATTCTTGTGTGAAACTACTTAGGCTTGTGTTCTTCACTCAAGGATGTTTAAGTTGTATGACTTTTGAGCCAGTTGCTTAACTTGTATAAATGTGTTTCCAGTCTATAAAACGGACATGAAAATAATACCTACTTCATAGAGTTGATGAGAAAATTAAATGAGTTATTCTATTTAAAGTACTTGGCCTAGTGTTCAATAATCATGAGAAGTTATTCTAATTCTTATTATTACTGTCATGATTATTATTAAGTCACAAAACTCGTATAAATATATTTTCTCCAGATTTATAAATGTTGATCTCTATTTGAATGTGTATAAACTTATTTAAATGTCTCTGTGGGAAAATATTCTGTGAATTATATTCTTATTATAATTGTGATTTATAATTGCTGTGCCCTATAGAGTTCTTTATAAGACATGTTGCCTAACTAACTCTGTTTTTTTGACATTTTACATTATATTTATTCATTGTCACAAATTCTGCTTTATCTTTCCCACATGCTTTACTCTCTAGATTATGCTTATGTGATATAGATAAAATATCCAGGTGCTTCACATGATTACCATTTAATTGTACCAAAAATAAACTATGATCTTCCTTGTGAAAATACTGTGCCAAGGAGCATAAACCTTTATCTTCTACTAAATGCTGACTCTGTCAGATACTGCACATGAGTTAGACTTTAGATTAAGACCCCTTCCTCTGCACATACTGAGTTATCTTTGTGAATATAGTTAATAAAATTCAAGTCCCCAATTAATTTTGAATGGCATTATATAGTTAGCTTCATATATTGAGTGTTTAATATTTAAAGGCAGATACATTTAAGACCAGTAAAATAGACCTTTAAAAATATTTTAAAGTATTTTTACCCAAGGTATCCCAGATATTCCCAATACAGTATTATTTTCTAATTATAAAATGTGATCTGGGACTGGGCATGATTATTCTCACCTGTAATTCCAGTGCTTTGGGAGGCCAAGGTAGGAGGATCACTTGAGAACAGGAGTTCAAGACTGCCCTGGGCAACATAGCAAGACCCCATCTCAAAAAAAAAAAAAAATAGCCAGACAGAGTGTCACGAGTCTGTAACCCTTGCCACTCAGGAGGCTGAGCCAGAGAGATCTCTTGACCCCAAGAGTTTGAGATTACAATGAGCTATGATTGTGCACTGCACTCCAGCGTAAGCAAGAGAGTAAGACCCTGTCTCTAAAAAAAAAAAAAAAAAAGAAAAGAAAGAAAAAATAAAAATAAAATTAATTGATCTTACAGTTTCTCCTTTATCAATTCTAATATCTTCTTTATTTACCTGTCCTTACTTTGAAAAAATCAATTGACCAATTGACTCCTCAAACACTTGGCAGATGCCTTCTTTGTGCCAGTTCCTATTAAAATTTCTGAGGATATAAAGACACATCTCTTATAGCAGTGCTATGTGAGTGCTGTAGAAAATAAAACAAGGAACAGGAAGAAAAGTGATTGGATGGCACTATGTAAGTCTCAAGAAAATCACAACTAATTCACTATTATGTTACATGGGACAGGGACTTCTTGTCTGTAGTAAATTGCTTTCTGACAATATTGAAATAAAAGAGCTAACTATTCGAGTTCTTAATACCTTTATATAAATCTTATTCTTTGTTTACTCATATTCATGTTTATTTAAGTGATATTCTTTGATTCATGAGAAATCTATTTCAGGGTACATTTTCCAAAAATATATTTTCTTTTCATATTAATAACAAAATATTCAAGACCATTTATTTGATGATCGTTCCATTTCCCACTCACTTCTAACATTTCCCATTTGTGCTGAAGTTATCAAATTATTTACTTTCATTTTATTCATTCTCCACTGGTTTGGAATATATATTTATTTTATATTAATGATCCCCTTAATTATTATCATGCATACATTATCAACAAAATTTAACAATAATATTTCTATGCACCTCTCTAACAATAATATGGCAAAAATACTTGTGTGGTTTAATTCCAAACTTACCTCTTCCATCATCGATATTACTGTTGCCTACTATTTAATTTGCACTTTACTTCTTACTTTTCCCAAATAGTCAATACTATCACTGCTGATATAATTGTTTGTATTATATCTATATAGATGTGCCAATGCTATTTTACCAATTTCTGAGACCAGTTTTGTTGTTTATATTTCCCTTTGCTTCTGTGTTCAATTTATTTCTTGTTCTTTGAGTATGAGTAGCAAATGTGCTCAGGTTTTGCATGATTGAAAATACCTTCATTTGACCCTCAATACTAAAAAATGGCCTACTTCAGCATCTAATTGTATAAGGACAATGATTTTTATAACAACACTGAAAATATTATTTCCTTCTGACATTTCTTGCTGTTAAGAAATCTGTGGTCAAATTATTGTTCCTTTATAATTTTCTCTAGTACCTTTTAATTTTCTCTTTGTCTTTGATACTTCACAGTCTTCGTTCTATTTTTTGTATGTGTAAATTTCCTTTCATTTATACTTTGTCACCTGATATGTTAATAAGAACAGATAAATTATTTCTTTTTTTAGTAGTTCTTCATTATGTTTGCGAAGATTGTCTTAGTCACAGTCTCTCCATTCTTTCCTAGAGTAACTTTGATCTATAGAGAATATTCCCATCCTATATTCTGATTCTTGATTTTCCTTTAATATTTTCTGTTTTCTTATCTCTAACTGCTTAATTCTGGATAATTTTCTAAAATATGTCTTCCAATTCACAAATTCTTTCTTCAACTTCCTATGGCATAATTTATCCTTCAATAGATAAATATACTCATATATATATATATATACACATATATATATATGAGTGTATATGTGTGTTTATATTTTTTCAAAGAGCATGTTTTCCATTTTCTGTGTTTTATTTAGTTCTTTTGCAAATTTATTTTTTATGCTGTTCTGATTTTGTATAATTAATTATGCTTATTTCTTTAAACAATGTAAACAAATGCAACCCATTTCACTGAGAATTCTCAATAAATAATAACCATGAAGCAGTTTCATTTTTCCTATGACTACCACCAACCATGTCAAACTCTACTTTGTCTGGTAGTTGGCTTCTCAAGCAATATTTAAGTCTGATCTTATCACATTTTATTCATACTTAGTTATTAAAATTTAGTCTAATTTAAATGTTAATGTCATACTTTATTCAAGTATTCTACCTGTTTAAATTAATCTTGTGTCATCAACAATGTATACAGAGTTGGGAGTGAAAAGGAATGGGCTTACTCCTCCTCTCACCCAATTTCTGAATGCTGATCTTCTAGTGGTGGTATAAAGGAAGATAAAGAGGGGAAAATACTCTCTTAGTGTAAATGTCCTTTTCATAGTTGGCTACAATTGCTGTTTCTTTTTGTTAACATGTACATACATCTGTGATGATTATTCTGTTGTTCCCTTTCTAGATTTTATCATCACTGGCCTGATTTGTTCTCTGTACAGTTGCTGTGCTTTGTTGGTGATCTCAATTGGCCTTATTCATTTGGGCTTTGAACCCAAAACTGATCTCCTAGGCATTCATGATACCTTAGAATATGTAATATAAATTTCAGGCTGACTCTTGCTGACAGCCTTATGCCATATTCCCTTGAAGATTACATCTTTTTGACCAATGCTTCACTGATCCCCTAGGTTGTTATTTATCTACCACATCTCAATTCAAAACCTATGGATATTAGAAGAACCTATCTTCCATACCTCTCAGTAACGAGAGACTTGAAAGAGTTGTCCTTGACTCCTTTCTGGCCATACCAGCAGCTCAACAGGAAATGCATACCAACCCCCCTTCCTGAATATGTCCACCCACTAAATAAGTGATTCTCTTCTAGATCCTGTAAAGAAAAAAAGGTCCAGTTGAGTTTCCCCTACCCATCCAAATAAAAAGGTGAGAGAGAAAAATTGCTTAACTGTCCAAACTCTCTTTTCTTCACTTTCCTCAAATGTCCTCACCATCAACCCTCTCTATATAGACCAGGGCTTGTAAAAATGAGTAATAGATGTTCTCTCAAAATAAAAATGCAGGCAACTTAGGCCTATGAAGTTTGAACTCTAGTTGCCAATCTCAAGACAATGTATCCTACTATCAACATATACCACTAGGCTAAGCGTATTTATTATAAAATTCTCTAAAATTGTTCTTTTATTTCTGTGTCATAAGTTGTAAATTCTATCAGTTGTTACAACTAATGACTCCCTCTAATAGCGGTGAATTTCCTCATGTGGTTTTTAATTTTGTACACGTGTGTTCATCTATCGTAGAAATAGTCTTCACTGGAAATTCCTTCTGCTCTGGACTATTGAAGGGTCCTTGTGAGTCTTTGTATTTGTCTCTACCAGGGTCCTAGTGATGTTAGGCTCTGCCATCATGTGTGATATAAGTTTAAGTTTCAATTTCTTGATTCTTATTTGCCAACCAAGAATCTAAAAAAGTTCTCAGTTTCCTTGCTAATTCTCTATACTCAAGTGGGTGAGGATTTTCCAGTTCCTGTTTATAGGATGGGTAGCATGCTACATTATTCTTTTCCATCTTCCTGGCATGAATGAAACCAGTGCCTCATCTCCCATCTCAAGTTAGTGTTAATTACTAACTTTAGTTAGTGTTAATTACTAGCTTTTATGTTACATACTCTGTTCTTTTTTTTTTAATTTTTTTTTTATTTCGGCATATTATAGGGGTACAGATTTTAAGGTTTCAATAAATGCCCATTTCCCCCCCTCCCCCCAAAGTCTGAGTCTCCAGCATGACCATCTCACAGATGTGCACATCTCACTCATTATATATGTATATACCCGCCCTTTCCCCTGCCCAATACCCTATTACTGCAGTAACCTATGTGACCACTTAGGTGCCTGTTCAGTTAATACCAATTTGCTGGTGATATATGTGGTGCTTGTT